TGCTTTAGAAGTATTGCTATTATGCTGCTTAAAAAACAAAGAAGCAAAATCAGTTTACATACTATATAACAGAAATGAAAACCAAAAAAGAGCAGCAACAATCACCTTTGTGTCAAAAGAAGAAATAGAAACAGTACAATCCAAATCAATAAGATTTAACAACCATCTTCTATATTGAAAAAACTTTTAAAAAAAGTGAAATAGAAAGAAAAAAGGTAATAACAGTTAAAGACATCTAAATGCAGAAGATATATATATCAATGTAAATGAAAAAGAGCAGAAAATTGATAAAAAAGAAATGATCAAAAGAGAAAACAACAAAAGCAAAGGTGGTAGTTGAATAAAACAAACAGAAGAAGATAATCTCAAACTACAAATGCAAGATTTGCTTCAAAAAATCTTAGAAAGACTAGACAAACTTAAAGTCTAACAAGACAAATTAATAGAAAAAATACAGCTGAGGACAGAAGATAGCTTAGCTGATCACTTCTAAGGCCACCTCTATAGATCGAATGAATAAATAAAGAGTAAATAATAGGTAAATAACAGAAAAAAAAACTGCCATTATTCTACCTTATATCTGCCAAATAATGGCAGCATAACAGCAGCATAATAGCAGAATAATAGTAAAATAACAGAAGGTTTGTTAATATAAGTAATATAATAGTAACATAATAGCAAAATAATAGAACTGTTCTATTATTTTGCTATTATGTTACTATTATGTTATTCATATTGACAAACCTCCTGTTATTTTACTGTTATTCTGCTGTTATGCTACTGTTATGCTGCCATTATTTGGCAGATATAGGGTAAAATAATAGCAGTTTTTTTTTCTGTTATTTATCTATTATTTATCTTTTATTTATTCATTCAACCTGTGCTTAGTTGAACTAATGAAAACAGATGAGAAGCTTGAAGGTTTTCTACAAAGAAAAAGAGCAATATTCGAGAAAAGCATAACTCCTCACCAAAAAGAAAAGAAAACTAAAAAAGAAAAAGAAAGAGCAGAAAACATAAAAACAGAACAAATCCAATTAAAAGAGAAATAGAAACAAAAAAAAAAAGAGATTAAAATATTATGTTATAATATTAATGAATTAAAAACCAAAGAGTAGAAGCTTAAAAATCTGCTTAGCTAGGCAGAAGGAAAAGAAATTGTAATATTAGGAATTATAGAAACAAATATTACTAAAAGAGAAGGAAGGCTTTTAACACATATATCAAATAAAAACTATATAGAATATTGGACAAACACAGCAGAAGATAAGAAAAAAAGATCAGATGTAGGAATTCTAATAGAAAAACAATGAGAAAAGCATATGGGTGCAATTAAAAGAATAAGTGAATACATAATAGAGATTACACTGTACTTCAAGCAATTGGAGTTAGTAGTAATAGAAGTCTATATACTATCAAGTAACAAGATAATAGAGAAAAATATTTAACAAAAGATTGTAGAAACAGTTACTAAACAGAAAAGGCAAACATAAGTTATGATTATAGGTAACTTTAATCATATAGCAAACAATATATTAGATAGACAATACTCACAAGCAGCAAGTTTTAAAAGACTATTGATCTTTAATTAGATGAGAAAACAAAACTTCATAAATATATATAGAAATATGCATCCAACAAACCAAAATTACACATGGTCAAACAAGAAAGCTGCAACAAGAATTGACTATATTTAGGTATCAGAAAAACTGGCCTTGAGCTTGCAAAAGGCAAACATTAAGAAAACAAAAGGAATTACAAAAAGTGATCAAAAATTATAACTGTAGAAATATGGATTAAATATATGATAGAAAAAAATAGTAAAGCAGAGATTAAAAGAAAAGGACAATCAAGAACATTATATCTATATGATTAGACAAAACTAGAAAATTGAGAAAATTATATGCAAGAGCTGCAAAAGCAATTAGAAGTAAAAGAAAGTCTAAAAAACATTCAAACAGAGCTACAAGATATAGAAAAACATATAAACAAAATAAAAGGTCTATAAGATACCATAAAAGAAGCAATTATTACTGCAGCCAATAAGCATCTACTTAAAAAAAAAATATACAACACAATGGCAAATAGAAGAAATAATCAAAAAACACAACAACAAGAAAAAGATATTGTAAAGCTACAAAAATTAATCAAATATGCAAAGGCAAAAAAAGACCAAAAAGTAACAGAAAAAGAAAAAAGTAGGACAAATAAACAATTAAAAGCACTAGACAACAAAATAGATGCAAAACTGCCAAAATTACAGAGGCATTGGTCATATGCCTAGATAGAAAATATGAAAGAATGTTAAAAACTCCTACAAGAAAAAAAGAAGAAAGACTAGAATAAAGTACAAAAAAGGTGAATGGAAGAGAATATAGACAAAAGATGCAAAATAATTAAAACAGACCAAAAAAAAATGCTTGCCAGCCTTTTAAATAAACTGTATAAAAAGATAATACTTGATAGAATTATTAAGCAAGAAAAGAAGAAAACATATCTAATAACAAAGCCAGAAAAGATAAAGACAAATGTAGCAGAACATTATAAAATGCAATTTAGAAAGAGAAACACCAAATTAGAAGCAATAACAGAAAAGTAAAAAGAGATATATGAATTAAGAGAAAGCATCAAAGAGGAATGATATACAGAAGTTGAAAGAAAAATTAAGGAATAAGAATACTAAGAAAGCTAAAGACAGGAACAGCTCTGGGTATCTTAGATATAAGCTATATATTAATTAAGAAAGAAAAAGTAAAAACACAAGAAGTTTTTAGAAGCTTTGCAAACTTATGCTTAAAAGTAAGAGAAATTTCAATAAAGTGAAAGATAGTACAAGTTTATCCTATACTAAAAGATGTAGTATGGGAATATAGCTTAAACAACATCTGCCTAATAGCATTGATTGAAATATTCAGAAAAGTTGTAACAAAGGTGATAACAAAAAGACTTGCCAAAATATTTATAGAAAAAGAAATACTTAGAGAGCCAAACTTTGCAGGCCTCTCAGAAAACTCAACAAAATAACCAGTGCAGATTTTATATATAATAATGAAGGAAGCAAAAGAAAAATATAAAGAAATATGAATACTATTGCAGGATATGAAAAAAGCATTCAACTCAGTCCTTCTCAAAAGTCTTAAACTAGTATTGCAAAAAGTCAAAATATCCAAGAGAACAATTAAATATATACTGAATCTTTTCTACAAAAGACAATTAAGAATAATTATAGCCTATGGCCTAACAGATGAACTAACAGCAGAAGATGAAATAGACCAAGGTAAAGTAATTTCATCATTAATATGACATCTTTTTTATAACCTATTATTAGAAAGAATTCAAGAAGATGAAAACTTAAAATATACAGTCAAGCAACAGTTACAAAAAGGTATGCAGTGCAACAATATTACAAGATATTGTCAAGCAGCAATTGCATATGCAGATGATACAACATGGGTTGCAAGCAGTAAAGAGCAATTGTTAGAAATTTTAGAAATAGCAGAAGATTTTTTTGGAATAAATGATATAGAGATAAATGAATTAAAGTCAAAATTAATAATAATGAACACAAAAGTTTGAAAAGAAGAAAAAGCAGTAATATATAGAAAAAGCAAGATAATAGAAGAACCAAGACATAAAATAGTTCATTTATTAGAATATGGTTAAACAACAGAATGTGAGAGATACAAGTAAAGAGAAAGACAAAAGGAATAGTAAACCAAACTATAAGAGATCTAAAATACAAAAAAATGACAATGAGTCAGATTGCATATATAAACAATATAGTAATAATATTCAAACTAAGCTATATGTTATAGCTAACAAAGATGTCAAACTGAAGTCTAAATAAAATACATCAACTAATAATAAGTTTGGCAAAACAAAAAAGCAACCTGCAAAGAACAGTAAAAAACTGTATAATGGAATACAAAGATCTTGGCAGCTATAGAACATTGTGACAAAAATTAATTATAAAGCAAGTAAGTGGCCTCTTGACGAGAATTAATTATAAAGCAAGTAAGTGGCCTCTTGACAAGACTAAACAGACATGACAGTCTTGAACAGCTAACAAGACTAAGAATAACACAAGGCTGTTAAAGAGTAGGTTTAATAAAAGATATATAGAAGACAGAAGAGTTGCCAGAAATTAAAACATATTTAAAAACAACTTAGCATGTCTTACAATACTCAAAGCAAGAAAACTAAAAATAAACATTAAAACAAAAAGTAAACTATAGACAATGTTTAGATATGATACCAAAATACAAGAACTGATAGATACACAATTGTAGAAAAAAGGGGCAGTTAGAGTAAACAAAGCTGGTTTAATATATTTGAACTAACTACTTGATACAAGAAGAGAAAAACTAATCATATAGCAGCAACTAAAAAGCTATTAAGACCAATTAAGTGAAGGGAAAAAAGCAAAATGGTTCAAAGCAATTGAATCAAAAGTGCTCAGCAGCTCAGAGAGTAGAGTAGTACAAAGATACTTTGGAATAGGTGAACAAAATACTCAGACAATGCAAGTCAAATAGGGGCATATATCAGAAAATAAAAGAAAGAAGAAATAAATAGTATATAGCATACAAGACTACAGATGCAAAAACATTGTTTTTGACTTACCTGACCCATTTTTTTGACCAGGCCATAAAAAAAAAAAAAAAACATTGTTTTTGACCCACATAGTATAAAATGATCATATTATTATAAATTGTGAAATTTATAATCGCATCCATAAAATTATAAGATGTACTACAAATAATCTTATCACTATACATTATAATATACACTACTGCACTATGTATAATTTATTGTATACACATAATATATTAAGACATAATGTTTTAGAATCTTTACAAATTTTCATTCGACTCTAATCTAGACATTTGCTTTGTCTTATTTTTTTTGCTGTCAAACTATATGAATAACTTTTTTTTATTTTGTTCAGCGTTATCACTTAAACAAATATCTTGTTCAAGGCAAGATTTTATGAAGTCGCATCACTTCCAACCAGTCTGCTTCTCTTCAAAAAGCCTTTCAAGTTTGGATCGTGTAATATCTTTGTTGAATAACACTGCATTAATGCTATCTTCACATTGAACAGACTACATATTAAAAATTTATAATTAATATGCTATATAGCATATATAAATATAATACACATTTATTTTGATAATTATATTACCTGTCTTCTTGAAACACTACGTTTTCGATTGTGAATCACAGCTGTTCTTCGTTTTTGAATTGACGGAGACAATAAATTTGATTGCTCTTCCAGATTACATAGCAAAGTTTGGTCCAATACAAATACAGCTGATAATTCTAATTTATTATCAAGTAGCATTAAATCATTATCACTATCCTTAATGTTAACATTTTAAAAAAGTAATATGTTTGTAAATTATATAAAATACATGTAATTTATTTGACTTATATGTACATATATACAGTATATACCTCTTTATTAAATATTACATTTGCAAAACTGGTTGATTTTCAAGGTTTTGCACCATGAATTTTAGGAGTACCAACATTTAAAGTTCTTCGTGTAGGCATCTCAGCAGGCTGAAATGGGTTTCTTTCTGTAGCTTCACATTTATAGGGGAAAAAAATATCATTACCTTGTATTGAATAAATATAAAGAATCTCTTTCAATGCAGTATCAGTTGAGCCACTATATATAATCTGATTTTTTTGCTTTTTTGGCATTGTGTGTTCTTTATTGCGGAAATATTGCACAAGATTATTTTTAATAATATCCAGTGTAATTTTATTATCTTCAACCTCATTAAACAACCATGCTGCATAGACATGCTTACATATGTCTCGAAAGGAGCCATTCCATATAAAATCCAAGCACGTACATTCCTCTGTAAAAATATTAACAAGATAGTAATCTTTTTGCTCTGCAACAGGATGTTTAGATGCAAGTTCATTTAATATTGGTTGAAGTAATTTGCTTGATTTGTCATTAATACTAATTCTTCGCATAGTGTATGGGGATCTAAATCCACCATTTCCTTTTTTTACATAAAAATATATATCTGATCCTTCAATCGCAGGTTTAACTAAGTAAAATATAACATAAAGATGTCCTTAGTTCAATCGTTGCTTCATATCCATTGGTTGCTTAAATGGTAATGTCTGATGCTCTATAATTCATGAATTCCAATATGTTACCTAACCTGCTTCAAATACCAACTGTGAAGAGGTTTCTTTAATAATATTGTCCCATGTTAAAGTAATACCATATAATCTTTTAATAAAGCAGTTAACTGGCTGAGTACCTACACATCGGCCTTCAACTGACTTATTCATTCTTTCTGTGAGATTGTTTGTAGTTATAGGTTTAGCATTTGATAAGTCATTTGCAGATAGCATTCAACCACCATCAATAAAACAATTGATTCATTCTTCAAACAACCAATTTGAAAATAAATTATTACACAAAAATTCTTTTGCAACTTTAGTGAGCAGTTGAGATTTAATAAAAAGCTGATAAGCCTCTCCAAGCTTTAAGGCCTCATTTACACTTCGGCTTCAATCTACTATTTTGAAAGCTATAGCAATTGGATAATGATAATGATCATCAATTCTTAAGTTTTTAAAGTGTTCATTAAATGTTTGCATTATGTGAAACCAACATAAAATTACATCATGAAGAATAGGCTAAAGTCCTCATTTTGTTGGTTAATGCTTATCAATCATCGCAAATAGCTGCCATTGTCATGCATACTGCTAGATTCTTATAAATCCTTTACTATTTGGTAGATCCACATATTTATATTCATGCATGCAATCAATTTTATTACATGGAATATTTTGTTGAACAGCTTCTACAGCAAGTCTAATTGTATGGTTATTTTCTTTATTTGATAACCCAATTGCAATTGGAGTTCCATAACCTGCATTATCCTTAACTACTAAAGATAAAATTGGTGCCCATCACAATTTAAGTTGTACTTTTCATCAATGCCGAAGCAAAATGAGCCAAAGTCACATGCTTGCTGAAGCTATAAATTATCACTCAAAGTAAGCTGATAATAATGTTCAGAATTGTTTTCAAACACATTCATATCAGGTTGTTGGTAGTATAATATGACACCTTTTTGTTTTAATATACCAGTTACTAATTTATGCACAATTGTTCAGGGACCTACATTTTTTCTTGCATGTAAGCTATCTCTTTCAATAAGCTGACGAAGCTTCACATCATCACATATTGAATTTTGGCCACTATACAAACATTCAAGTTCATTTTGTGAAATATCATTATGTGGTGCAAGAAGCTTCATTTTTATTTCTTTCATTGTTCGCTTGTCTGCTCGATGGCTTGTAATTGCAAGATCATGGGCTTCTCTATTTAAATTAATTCGAGATAATGCAAATGTTTCTCGAATAATGTTTAGTAGAATATAATTACCTTTAATAGTCATGCGTACAGAAAATTCCGTTTCAACTTCAGAAAGCATAACTTCTGTAAGAATTCGTACACTACATTTGTGCATGTCAAAGGGATTTTTGAGGTTATATTGATCTGAATAGTAATTACATATTTCTATACATTTGCCGATCTCATTACATGATCTTTGGCAGCTGCCTTCATCAGAACAAAACCAGGTCCATCGCCAAACATGAATATTGTCCTCATTTCTTGCATATATTTGTTGAATTCAGCTTTTTCTATTTTCAGTAAGTCATAGAATATCATCAAGGTGATTTGTTAATTTACTTTCACTCTTTTTAGTCTTCTATCCAATATAGTCAACAGAACCTTCTACACATTCAACTATTACAAGTCCTTGTTTTACCACTTCATTTACTTGTATTCAGCTTTGGACCTTATAACAGATAATTTGTGATATAGGAAGTGAATACAGGTAATGTTCTACTGCTTGCCCAAATGGTAGCTGAACATTGCCATTACTATCTATACGAAAAGGATGAGAAGTCATCTTGCATGAAATTAATTGTATATTTATTATCAGGTGAAACCTATTTTATTGTAGTCTACTCAAAGACAAGTTGCAGTAGGAAATATAGTTTGTGTTCTTCATTTTTTGCTAGGCAAAAAGATCTACGCTCTTTATTATTTTGTCTTTTATATAAAATATTTATCATTACATAATTTTACTTTATAACTTTAATATACATTTATTACAGATTAATTATACTAAATTTCAATATACTTTTAGTTTATTACAGATTAATTATGCAGTAAATTCAATTTATTACAGACTAATTATGCCATAATTCTAATTCCGACCATATAATAGTGAGTTTGGTCACATTTCATTTTGATGAAAGACTGAACATTGTTGTGTTACATGCACGAGTCAAAAATGATATGCATATTTTTTTTTTTATGGGCCAGTCAAAAAAATAGATTGGGTAAGTCAAAAACAATATTTTTGCACCACAGACAGCTTGGAAAAGTAGTTTAAAAAAAAAAGCATTAATTGAATACTGGCAAATGAAGTGCAAAAAGAATAAAATAACAACTAAAATCAACAGATATAAAAAGTGTATAAATAAAGAAGAACAAATAGAAAACAGTTGTCAGCGATAGATAAGATTAAATAAAACTATTTATATAATTTCAGATAATTAATAAGTAAGAGTAGCAATCAAATTAAGATAGCAGTAAACCAAATAATAGATAAAACAGAAATAGACAGATTAAAAATAAGTGAATACAAATTAAAGAGTCTTATAATGATAGAAGAACTAGAGATAGAAATTATTAAATAACAAAAACTAAAAGAAAATATTAGTCAAGAAATAACAAAAGTTCTAAGAAGAAACATTATAAAAATCAAGAATAAATATATAATATATACTAATAATGCAGCTAATAGAAAAAATAGTAAAGAGCTATCATCTAAGAACAATATGAGTATTGAATAGATTCAAACAAATGAAATGCAAAAATAATCAGAAGAAGAGTTAGCATTTGGACTAGAAGGATAGCAAATGTCAATAATAGCAAAGTTAATAGCAATTTGGACAGCAATTTTAATAATATCTAAAGAAAAGCAAATAGAGATATATACAGATAATAATGCTGTAATAAGAAATATCGATAGAAGCCTAGAACAAGCAAACAAAAACAAGATTATTAAGAAGAAAAATGCAATATGATTAATAAAAATTAAAGACCTTGTCAAGATGAAAATCATTTATATAGATTTAGTTAAAGTTAAAAGTTATAGTAAAGACAAGTAGAATAATAAAGCTAATAGTTTAGCAAAGAAGGAAACAATAAGTAGGAAAATAGTATAGGCCAAAAAAGTCAGTTGTAAAAAGATAGAGTATTGCCTAAAGTGAAAAAACAAATAAACTGATATATTAGCAAGACTGTTTTGCAAGTTAGTAACAAATGCAAGACTAGAAGTAGAGTAAAAAAAAATAAGAGCAATTAAAGATTTAGAACCAAAAGCAGAAATCACAATTTATAATTGGACTTGTTTTTGAAAAAGACTAAAAACAACTAAAAAAATACATTGTATAACAAGAAGAAGTAGTATCAGAAGAAGTGTATTGATTAAGTGCATAATAGATAAACTTCTAACTTTAGAAGAACTCAACAGAAGAAGACCAGATATATATACAACAATGAAATGCCAAGTATGTCAAGATAAAATAAAAAAGATGCAAGCACACTTGGCAGCATGCAAGAGACAAAGAAATCTCTAGAAAAGAATCCAAAAAGTAACTATTGCAACAGCATAAAAGAAATTAAAAAAAAAAAAAGATTCAAATTTTCCCACATGTGCTATATACAGTGCTCTTTGGAAAAACAGAGACAGAGGAAGTTAAAATAAAAGAAGTACTAATAAAATGCCTAATTCCAAAAAAAATATAAGACAAACTAGCAGAGATATTAAACATAAGATCAAGGCAACAGTTTGCAAATACAGTAGCAATAATGGTCTAAGACACTTTCTACAAACAAGTATGGAGAATACATTGTGAGAAAATTATCAAATAAAAGAAAAAAATTGAAATAACAGATAAAAGTAAAGAAAAACATGTGAAAAGCTGAAGAAACCAGAAAAACAAAAAAAGGCAGATCAGGAAAAAATAGAAAAAAAAAGAAAAAATAAGAGAAAAAAGAAAACAAGTTGAAAAAAAAGTAATAAAGACAATTTTGGGGCTTGTCATGAAAGAAAGAAGACCTTTTCATTATGAACTTTAAGTAGTCAGACAAGTAGTTTATTTCTGTTCAAAGTAATGCAACAGGTTGCACTTAGGTATTATTAAGATGACTAGGTGATGCTAAACTTAGATATTAGAGATATTTATATAGTTACAAATGTAATTTCAAAAACTCAATAAAGTACTAGCATGACTGCTTATATAAAAAAAAAAATTGTTTACTTTTACAAAATTTTCTTTAAAAAAAAATGAAAGTGCTAGGTAAACCAACTTTTAACTTTTGTAAGATTTTAACACTTATGAGTATTCTTTGTAGGTTTTACAGTTGTATAGAACTAATATATTCAACTTTGTTGTTTACTTAATAAGAAACCTTGGCTTTTACTAACTACTTCTTCTATAATCTCAGAGTGCTCTTTAAACTGTTACCACAAGACTGCAACTATTTTTCAACTCTATTTCAATATTCGATAATGCATATACAATACTCCAAAAAGGTTTTTATAAAGTTTAATATATTAACTATATTATTTTTTTGTAGTTCAGTTTTTTGGTAAGTTTGGTTCAAGTGATTATTAAAAAAAGTTATATTTTTGATTTTGAACTTATAATCTGTTATTTAAAAGAATAATAACTTATTTACTTTACTAAATTATCATATTGTTATAGGATAAATTTTTATTATTATTATATTACTATCTTAGTATATATATATATATATTTTTTTTTAACTTTAGCAGTCATGCTAATACTTTATTAGAATTCTTGAAACTATACAGATTACATAGAATTTTCCTGATATATAAGTCTAGCATTACCCAGCCACCCAAATAGTACCTAAGTACGACCTGCTACACTATTCCAGTTAGAGATAGACTGCTTGTCTAACTGCCACCCTACAATAGGACATTACCAATCTGATAACATCTTTTCATAAAAAAGCAAAAAACAAAAAAAAGAATTTTTTATATAAAAAACAAAACAGAGATATAGGGTAAATGATAAAAGATACAAATCAAGAAATAAAAGATGAAAGGAAACAAATGAGAAAAAAGAAAATATATGAAATTTGCAATTCACAAATATTAGACAGTCACAATTATATATCTGTGTTGGGCCTTTAAAAATTATAAACTATACTAAATAAAAATAATTCTACTATTTTTCTATTTACTTTGATTATTTAACAAAAAACTATATAGAAAAAAAAAAATCTTTGACTTGATTATAAAGGGTTGGTACAGAGCACTAGTTAGTTCAGAGTCAGTATTTTCAGGTTTTTTAGTATTTTGAGGCATGTATATAGTCATGTTTGTATTACTGTCTTGTTTTGATCTACATCATCAACAAACCTATTTAGGAAGTAAACACTGCTAACTGTTTTGGTAGTTTTATGTATTGATCTTTAGAAGAAAGTAAGCTAAATTTCCACTTTTACAAAATTTCCTTGAAGCAAAGTAAAGATGAGAGGTAAACCAACTTTGTAGCTTTTGTGAGTTCTTGATCTTTATAGGTGTTCTTTGTAGATTTTATAATTGTATAGAACTAATGTATCCAACTTTGTTGTTTACTTTATAAAAAACTTTGGCTTTTACCAACTACTTTTTCTATAGTCCCAAAGTGTGTTTAAACCATCACCACAAAGCTGCAACTTCTTTTTCAACTTTATTTCAATGTTTAATTATGCATGTACAGTACTCTAAAAAAGTTTTTATAAAGTTTAATATATTAACTATATTGTTTTTTTTTTTTTTAATCTATATAAAACTCTTTCCTGTTCACCTCTGATCGGGAAAGGAAAATAAAAATAATAATCATAAAGTCACTAAACACAAAACAAAACCTAACAAAAAAGTCCACCTCAAGGGCCAGAGCCCTTGTACCAAAGA